TTACTAGATTTTGCAAGCATTGCATACTGTTGCCTAGTTTGTGATCTATAATTGTCCCCAGGTCCTTTTTATTAAAAGTTATCCTTAAGTCAACCCAATCTGATTTATAAGTGGCTTGTGGGTTCCATATTCCAAAATGCATGACTTACAATCTATCTGTATTGAATCTCATCTGTCACTTGCCTGCCCAGTCTGCCCATATATCCAAATCCTTCATGTTCACTTGAATTATCCTACCTTTTCTGTTATCTGAAAACACTGACAAATAACTTTTAATACCCACTTCAAGATAATTTATAAACATATTAAAGAGAAGTGGACCCAGGACAGATCCCCGAGGCACTCCACTTACCACTTTGACCAACTTGAAAATTTCACATTTACAACTACTCTCTGCACTCTATCTTTAAGCTAGGATTCTATGCAGGAACATGATTTTTCATCTAAACCAACTAATTTCAGTTTTACTAGTAACCTTTTGTGTGGAACTGTACCAAAGCCTTAGCAAAATCCAAGTTATTCACTTCTACTGGCTCACTCTGAACTACTGAACGGCGCTCTCCTGGCTGTTCGGCAACAAAAGGAAGCAGGTGTTCGTATGTTTTCAGCGGTGTTCAGGAAGTCGAGTGTCCGATTTTAGTTCCAGACACTCGATGACCAAGTCCCGCTGGCTCCTTTCATGCAAACAAGATGGCCGCCGTTTTCTCTTCCACGTGGCGTTCGACTATGCAAATGGCGGCTGCCCAGAGAGAGAGAGCTCAATTGACGGTTTCCTTTGAAGTTAATGAGCCAGGAGCGAGGTCGGCATTCAGTAGTTTAAACTACTGAACCAATAAAACTCAGAATAAGCGAAAGACATAAGAAAATCCCGAAAGCAAGTCTATTTTCTTCACAACACCTGTCAAGGAAAAATAAGGCAGGTTCAATTTGGAAAGGCCCAATTTAATAGATGCTAAAAAGGGTAAGTAATTTGCTTTTACCAAAATGGATAATAAAGGAGTGATATTTACACCTAAATATTTCATTCCATTAGAGGCCCAACGAAATTTATATGATTGGAGCAATAACTGCTTCAACTATGTGAGACAGACACTCCCATCATTTCACATTTCGTGGCGTTGACTTTAAAATGTGATATGGCGCTGATTTGTTCAATTCAGCCATTATTTAGGGTATTAAATTAATAGGCTCAGTATTGGGAGGAGAATGTCATCTGCAAAAGCACAGACCTTCACCTCACCTCCTGAATAAGAATACCGCTTGATCATTTGATTTTGTCGCATAGCTTTGAGGAAGGGCTCCATAATTAAGGAGAATAATGTGGGGGAAAGAGGGCAACCCTGCCCAGTTCCATTTCTTATGCTAAATGAATTATATTTTTGTCCGTTAATCCTTATGCTAGCTGTTGGTCCATGATATAGTAGTCGTAGTTTAGTAGTTTAGTGGTATTTTCCAGAGCTTCTCTTCCCGGGACAAACCAGCTTGATCAGATTGGACTAGTCCAGGCAATAGAGACTCGAAACAGAGTGACAACATTTTAGCAAACAATTTAAGATCAGCATTGATAAATGAAATTGGCCTAAAGTTCCCACATTGAGTGTAATCCTTGCCTGCTTTAGGAATAAGTGTGACTGATGCATGTAACATTGGGTGAGGGTAATATTGAGTATAATGAAAATGAGTTCAAAGTCTTAAGGAAATGAAAAACAAAAGCGTCCATAAAATTTTTATAATAACAGGTCGTCAGACTATCAGGCTCTGGGCTTTTCCCAATCGGGCTTGAGTTCAATGCCTTGGCAAATTCCAAAATAGTAACTTTGTCTGCTGGTATCGTATGAGTCAGGTTAGTTTTTACATAATCAATGACTAGGTCTTGTGATATTGACTTTTGTGGAAGATTGTAAAGATTCTGGTAGTAAGAGTTAAATGCTTGAGCTATATGCTCTGAAGTAAAATGTGATGTACCTACACTGTCTGTTATTTTTGCTATGTAAGCCGCATGGCGTTTATGTTTAAGTGCCTATGACAATAATTTAGCGCATTTATTTCCATGCAAGTCAAAAGATCCCCTAGTTAGTTGTACAAAATGATGGGCTTAAATTTTAAGTTGGTTTTTTAAACGTTGATAGAGTTCCGCTGATGGTTGGGCTTTATGGGCTGATTCCTGTGTCTGAATATTTTTAGTCAAAGATTAGATCTTATGCATACGTTCTTTTTTAGTCTGGAGCCCCATTTAATTAAAATTGCCTTTATTACACTCTTATGTGCATCCCAAATCCACTGTTCTGTAGAGTCAGGCGACGTGTTTTCTATAAAGTACAAGTTGATGGAAGCTTTGATATCTACTTCTACTCTAGGGTCGTCTAAGAGGGTTTCGTTTAGTCGCCACTGAGGATTTGGGCAGGTTGATCCTTGTAAGTGAAGCGTTAAAAATGTTTACAATAAAAGCCTCTTTAACAAGGTGTAGATGCCTATGGGATAGAAAGATCATATCAATCCTGGAATAATAATGGGATGTATGAGAATAATATGTAAAATCGTTTTTATATTTATTTCCCAATGGTATGTATTGAGAAATTTAATTTTGTAGAATTTCTTTAAAGATTTTTGCTGGTGAACAATTCCTGACAGTCAATTGGTTGTAAAGATAACCTTATCCTATTGAATTTATCCTTTTTAAACATAAGTGTTTTTGTACATCTCAAATGATACCATATGATGTTCACCCTTTCCCTGGTATTCCCTAACATGAATGTTTGAAAATAAGTCAACATTATTAGTTATGCCAAGATGCACGCATGCATCTCTTCTAGCTGGTGCTTCTACTGATTGAGACAAAAAACTATTGTTTATCAGGTTCAAATACCTGTCTCCCTTAACTGTTCTACTAGTCTGTCTGGTCCATTCAATGTCTGCATAATTAAAATCTCCTATGAGTAATTACCTAGTTTTGCAGCCTTATTAATCTGAGATAGCAGTTGCTCTTCCCCTTTCTTATTAATGTTAAAGGGCTTGTAACATACTCCTATTCTTAATGGATATCCCTTGTTTTCTCCTATACATATTTCTACCTGCAAAGCTTCCACATCTTAACCTGTATTATATTCTTTAACACTTGGCTTTAAACAAGTTTTAATATAAGACATAACGCGTCCCTATTCTATTTTTTTCTATCTTTTCTAAATAATATATATCCATTTAAAATAATAGCCCAATCAAGTGTTTCATTCCACCAAGTCTGTAAGTATGTCTGTCACTGAGTGTGTGTCTGTCAGTAAATGTGTGTGTCTGTTAGCTAGTGTGTATGCATCTGTTCGTGAGAGTGTGTGTGTGTGTCTGTTAGCTAGTGTGTATGCATCTGTTTGTGAGACTGTGTGTGTGTCTTCAGCACTTACCTTTCTCCATAACTGGTCTCCCTTGGCGCTGGGGATCCCTCCGCCCTGATCGGCTTCTCAGCTCCGCATGCGCGGCAAGAGCCGCGCGCGCATTTAAAACGCCCATAGGAAAGCATTACTCAATGCTTTCCTATGAATGTACAGCGTCTTCTCACTGTGATTTTCAGTGAGAATCACGGAAGCTCCTCTAGCGGCTGTCAATGAGACAGCCACTAGAGGCTGGATTAACCCTCAGTGAAACAGCAGTTTCTCTGAAACTGCTATGTTTTCAGCTACAGGATTAAAACTAGAGGGACCAGGCACCCAAACCACTTCATTGTGCTGATGTGATCTGGGTGTCTGTAGTGGTCCTTTAAGTGTATGTGTATCTGCATGCACTGGCATACATACAGCGGTCGCAGGGGTTGCAGCCCCGCGACCAGGTGCCTGCTGCCATGTGTTGCGGCCCCGGCCCTCACAGAGTAATCGCGGGGGGGAGGGGGCCCACGGATCAGTTTTCGCACCGGGGCACCATGGGTTGTGTGTCCTCCACTGTGTCTAATCATTTCTCCATTCTGATCCTATCAATACTAGAGGAGCTTTCCCTCAGCTGTTAGAAAGAGCAGCTTCCTCCAGTATCCACTCATGAGTTGATACTCCCAAAATCTTCACTCAATCTGCTGTGGTGTACACAATCAAAACTGGCAATACCCTTCCTCTTCCCTCTCCGTCTGCCTGGTCCCAAGTTGGCTCATCCCCTCCAACTAAACTCTGCTCAGTGAGCAGTAAGCCCTTTTCAAGTTTGTCAATCCAATCAAGTGTTTCAATTTGCTTATCCAGAACTCCAGTAGGTGTTTTCAGAGAAGCCACTCGTGCACATTTGCCATAGTTGTATGTACCCCAAAAAGACTTTTCCAGGCATGCATACATACAGCAATCTGAGTTAAATTTCCAATCTTGCTAACAATCATAATTGCCCCACTAAAACAATTGCAAAATGTGAAAGGATGTTTTAACTTCTGTGCTGTTTGAACTCCTGTGGGTTCAAACTTCATCTTAAAAATAGACTGACAGATAAACTCTTAATGAGCAAGCTCTGTGAGTTGCTTACAGGCCAAGACTGGCCATCGGGCAAATACCCAGTGGGCAGCGATGGCCATGGGCCTAGGGCAACATAAAAGATCAAATGATCTCTTCTGCTAGCCCATGCAGAGCTATCAAAGTACCAACCTTGTTGTGTGTCTTCACAGACTGGTGATGTACATTTGTGCATTCATAAGTACAGTGGCGTACACATGACCCATGGGGCCCCGGTGCGAAAATTGATCCGTGGGCCCCCCCCCCGCGCGCGGGCCGGGCCGCAACACATGGCGGTGGGCACCTGGTCGCAGGGGTTACAGGGCTGCGACCCCTGTATGTACGCCAGTGCATGCAGATGCACACACACTTAAAGGACCACTCTAGGCACCCAGACCACTTCAGCTTAATGAAGTGGTCTGGGTGCCAGGTCGAGCTAGGGTTAACCCATTTTTTCATAAACACAGCAGTTTCAGAGAAACTGCTGTGTTTATGAATGGGTTAAGCCTTCCCCTATTTCCTCTAGTGGCTGTCCCATTGACAGCTGCTAGAGGCGCTTGCGTGCTTCTCACTGTGATTTTCACAGTGAGAGCACGCCAGCGTCCATAGGAAAGCATTATGAATGCTTTCCTATGTGACCGGCTGAATGCGCGCACAGCTCTTGCCGCGCGTGCGCATACAGCCGACGGGGAGGAGAAGAGGAGGATCGGAGGAGGAGAGCTCTCCGCCCAGCGGTGGAAAAAGGTAAGTTTTACCTCTTTCCAGAGCCGGGCAGGTGGGGGTCCCTGAGGGTGGGGGCACCCTCAGGGCACTATAGTGCCAGGAAAACGAGTATGTTTTCCTGGCACTATAGTGGTCCTTTAAAAGACCACTACAGACACCCAGATCACATCAGCTCAATGAAGTTGTCTGGGTGTCAGGTCCCTCTAGTTTTAACCCTGCAGCTGAAAACATAGCAGTTTCAGAGAAACTGCTACGTTTCACTGAGGGTTAATCCAGCCTCTAGTGGCTGTCTCACGGACAGCCGCTAGAGGAGCACACTGAACGTCCATAGGAAAGCATTGAGTAATGCTTTCCTATGGGCGGTTTGAATGCGTGCGCGGTCGCATTCTGAGCTGAGAGGCTGAGGGATCCTCAGCGCCAAGGGAGTCCGGCGCTGGAGAAAGGTAAGTGCTGAAGACACACACACACACACACACACACACTTACAGTCGCATACACACTAGCTAACAGACACACACATTTACTGACAGAGATACAGTCAGTGACAGACATACATACACACTCACTTACAAAACATACACTCTCATTGACAAACACACACTCACTAACAGACATCAAACAGACTCACTAACACACACACAGTAACACACTCACTGACACTCACTAGCAGACACACACACTAACACACTAACACTCACATTAACACTCACTAGCAGACACACACTAACACTCACTCTAACACTCACACACACTAACACACACACTAACACTCACTCTAACACTCACACACACTAACACTCACTCTAACACTCACACACTAACACTCACACTAACACTCACACATGATTTTTTTTTTTTTAATATAATCCCCCCAGCCTCCTTACCTCTTGGAGTGCTGGGGGGGATTATTCCCTGGGGTCCAGTGGGGCTCCTGGGCGGGTGGCCGGTCGGGCAGGCAGGCGGGCACGCAAGGGAGCACTCAGTGCTTCCTCTTCAGCTCCCTCGCGCACCGCGTAGGGATGTCGGCGCCGGAAGATGACGCCATCTTCCGGCTCCGGTATCATTGCGGTGCGCGAGGGAGCTGAAGAGGAAGCACTGAGTGCTCCCTCGCGCGCCCGCCTGCCTGCCCGACCGGCCACCCGGGGTCAGCAGGGCCAGCCTCGGGGGGCCCTGGGGTGGTCGGCTCCTGGGCCCCCCAGGGGAAGAGGCTGGCCCTGGGCGTACATACCGGGTCGCAGGGGCGGCCGGGCCCCCTGGTGGGCCGGGCCCGGTCGCAGTCGCGACCCCTGCGACCCTGGTATGTACGCCAGTGCATAAGTACTAGGTGCTGTAGAATAGCAGCAGGCAGAAGATGACAGCGTTCATGATGGACAGGTTCAGGTAGGTTTAACTCTTCTATCCCTGCAACCCTGGCCACCTCACTGCCATTGGAGCAGTTACTATTGGTGGTCTTTCCATTTACATAAAACCAAAAAACAAAAAAGAGTGATGTGTGTAGATACTCAAAATTAAATTCAAAAAAATATGATCAAATCGTGAGATTAAAACTCTCATATGACTTGTCCCTCACAAATCAATTTTAACATCAAGAAGTACCAAAAAACATGAGGTGAGCTCCTACAAAGTCCTTGTCCACTGTATCCAACTTATGAAATGTAGTTTTGTATATGAAAAATAAAAAGATAAGTTGGCATCATCTTAATTGGAGGAAGCACAATTGGTTCAAATTCATGTCTCGAGCTGAGTTACGTAACTAAGAGATGCAGAGACAATATATTATTAGCCATGAGGCTACATATATAAGCATATCCGTTTATCTTGGATCTTGTTTTTTATATTGGTTTTAGGTTTTTTATTTGTATTTTTACATGCTGAATCATCACAATAACTTGAGCCATTCCAGACAGGAAGTTTTTTATCCCATGAGATCTGTAAACTCATATCCAAATTGGGTTGAATTAGTTCTAAGCTGGAACCTTTTTCAGTTAAATTAAAATGCCTGCAAATTTACGCTCCAGAAACTGGCTACTTACCCAAACATCAGCCCAAACTAGATAAAGGGTACAACAAGAATTCAGGCTAACCACCTTGCTTTTATGCAGTCACAAACACACAGGGTTTTCGTTGACATATTCCAGGGGGGAAAGTGACAAGTTACATTCTACAGTCCTATTGGCTCTCAGGTCCAGGACACTCCTACAACAGTAATATAATTCTTCCCCTGTACTTGGGAGATTATAGAATCAAGCACTATACTAAACTCAATTATCTCCAAACCCAAAAAGCACACATTTGCACAGAACCTAGAAACCCCACAAAAGTTATGTCCCCTGATAGCCCTGATCTGGGGGACCAACATATTCAAAAATCACCCAGATCAGATCAGTGGTTCAAGAGTTTCATGGAAGTCTTATTTTGACCGACTGCACACGAGGCTCCTGCCCAAAAATAGTTCCATGAGATTAGGTTGTGTGGTCGGTGTATTTAGAAAAGTCTAAAAACCTAAAAAATCCACAAACAGTTCCCCTGGCTCAAAGGTACTGTTTGTTCACCTAGTTTGTGGGAACATAACTACCGAATTGCGCTCTTCTGGCTGGCTGTTGAAAGGAAGCAGGCGTTCCCAAAGTTTGACCGGCGTTCGGGACGTCGAGTGTCCGATTTTAGTTCCAGATGCACAACGACCAAGTCCCGCTGCCTCCTTTTGTGCGAACAAGATGCCCGCCATTTTCTCCTGCACGTGGCGTTCGGCTATACGAACGGCGGCCACACAGGGAGAGCACTTAATCTTGTGGTTTCCTATGTACTTAATGAGCCAGGGGGATGGCCAGTATTCGGTAGTTTTATCTACCGAACAAGAAAAATCCAGTTGAACGAAATAAACAGGGTAGTTTCTTCACAATGAAGAACACCAAATTCAGATGCCACAAAGTTTCATTTCGACTAAAGTTTTTGAAAATCCACCCAATTAATAATAGTTCATCACGATTCTCAATTTTTATCGTAATGAAACAGACCTGATAACAAATATACAAAATGGTACAAAAAGACAGAAAAATAATGTGTACATTGCTAAATTACATGGAAAATAACTTAACATGGGCACAGATTTATTTCTCTTATTTGAAGTCTAAAATTTCCAGGGACTGTAATCTGTAAGAACTGAAAAGCATTTTAATTGGGTTTTTTGATACTTAAGGTCCTATTGTTAACTAATTGTCCTACGGGTGTTTTGTACAAGTGAAAATAGAGCATCATTTCCTGTTTCTCAACTTTTGGAGAATTATTTTAATTTCTATACTACAATGGGTGATATTTAGCCAATCTTTGGGTGTGAATTTAACAGATATGATTCTGCTTACTGACCTGCCCGTTTCTATGAACAATAATGGAAAAAACATGAAAAAAATTAACATCGAAAGATATATAAAATCAGTGCAGACGCCTGTAATTTCAGAAAATAGCTGCACAATCACCAAACAACACTTGATTTAATTAACAACATCTACTCTGTATTTACAAGCAATTAAATGATATGGGGATATCAGGTATTCCGGTATAATATTTGTTAATTAATAGTGATTGCTTAATTGACTGCAGTTATTTTCACCTCATTTAAAAATTTGAAACCATGCAAAGAAGCACCTTTCTTTTTTTTTTTTTTTTTAAAGCATGGAGTTTTGGCATTATGTCCATGGAAAACAAAAGAATAACAAGATGGTTTAAAAGGATTTTTTAAAATAAAAGAATAAAAGGGAGTGTGATTGCTGTGAGTGTGGGTGTGAATATAGGTCTACAGATGAGCACAATAATAACAATGATAAATCTTTGTGGTGTTTTCTATGAGTCCATTACTAACATACATTGTACTATACCTTTTATAGAAAACCAGACATATGAGCTTCACTGCCTTGACATTCTATAGTTTCCAAAATGGAAGGAATGTATGTGTTTTGTTTTGCTCTAAAGTCAATTTATATATATTTTTCTTGGGCATTAAGAGGGCATTATAGCAGTGCTAATTGCATTTATTTTACACTCCAAAGAACAAGAAGCAATATATCAGACTGTAAAAATTCAGTCCGAGCTTACTTCACATATCTGTCACTCGTGTCTCTCGTTCTCTTATACCATATTGTACATGCAAGCCTATGTTAGTGTTGAAGAGACACCACACTTAAAACTGAAGGCTGATATGCCTAGCATTATGAAGTGGCACCCTGAAGGGGATCATATATATAACGTGAGTACTAGTGGATTTTGTATAAAACTTACCAGTATGCAATAAACACTCTTGATCATTCAATGTGAAATTATATTGCTTTTCGATGGGTCATTTAGCTAGGCTTTATATGGCAGCTTGTTCATGCTAGTTGATGTGTTACTATAGTAATTGCAGACAATCTGCCTACATGCATCCTGAAAGAAAACCAAGATAGTGGTCATAGCTATTTAATGTACAGAACATATTTTTACATATAGCTATACTTTAGTTTAATTAGTTTAATTTGTTACCAGCACTGATTATTATGCATGAGTGCTAATCATAATTTAGAAAAGTGTGACATTCGGTTTGGCTGGAAACTTGTGGCTACAAAGTTGCCAAGTACTTTTATTAAGGTTTTGTGCTGTGTTATCAGAGTGCTTCCAAATAATGGGATGCCAAATATGTTCTGTAGTGTGGAGCTACTTTTTCTCCTCTCCAAATGGGTCAGGCCTAAAATGCAACCACCCACAAGGGAAAATATATGTTTATTTTTTTAAACATGTGAGAATTATCTAATAAGCCTTTACATTATTGTCATCCACATGCACTTTCTAGTAGACCTTACCAGATTATTACTGGCTGAAATACCTTTCTTGTCCTAGTTGGTAATGAACAGGAACTTGATTCTTCTTTGTGGGAAATGTTTTGCATCTGTTCTTGCAATGTATCTTTGCTCCACAGAAAGGATCCTGCAAAATGTTTGCCTGATTGGTGTAAGTGGATGCACGAATATCAAATTTTATTTAAGGAAAGTCTCATTCATATCAGTTTGTTTTTCTTATTAAAAACAAAGAGATGTATTCACAAAGCTTAATCTTTACGTAGTTTATGCCTGATAACAAAAACTTGAATTTATGTGTTTTCACTGAAATCTCGGAGGAAAGAGAACAGTTGCCAATATTTGGCATTTTAAATTCCCTTATTTCTATGCCAA